CATTTTTTAATTTTTTTTTTTTTTTTTTTTTTTTTTTTTTTTTGTCTTTCCTCTTATCCTGTTGACCACCAAGACCAATGCAAAAAAATTATTGATGCTGTGTTACAGAATAAGTATTTTTAAGTCCAACATTATATGAAATGGAGCAAAATATGTGAAAACTAGTTGATTTTTTTTATCATTTATACGCTTCATTACTGATGTAAGTCATCTTTTGAGTTTATTAGAAGTAACTTGCTTCCATTGTAGGTATAGTTTTCTTTGCGTATTGGATTTCTATCCATTTAACAGATATTAACTTTATGCTATAAAATAAAAACTTGTGTTTATTTACCATTCACCACTTTTGTATTAGACATATAACTAATGATTTGTTGTTCTACCAAGTTGATGATGAAATACATTGTTCTAAATTATATATTATGTAATGTGTGTGATTACAAGTGATATTAGGTCATGAAGAACAAAGATGAAGTCATGAACTATCATTAAGTATTGACTATATTGTGTTTTGCACTGACAAAAATACAAACAAAATAAAAAAGTATTGCAAGTTATATTTGTTCTGTTTCTTTACCCTTACTGGTCCAAAAAAAAAAAATACAAGGAATATCCAAATCCATGCTTTGTCCAAGTAATTTGCAGCACGAGATGTTCATCAGGTACATCAAGCATCCAATATTTCAAAACCGTCACAGAGCTATGTAATTTAATGCTTCATTTGCACAGCTTTCAACCACCTATTCACATAATCTTTTAAGCCAAATCCACGACTAGGTCTTAGAATTTGCTTGAACAAAGCCATTTTGGGAACTTTCCAGTGCTCCACATGCCTGAAAATTTTCATAGATATTAAGATGATTGTCAAAATGATAGCACTGAAAGGTAGAAACATGTGCCTTCACAATGGACAGTCTTTCACCTCACCTGCATACTTTTCCAGATTGTACATCAAAATAATATTCTGTGTATCCAGTTGCTGCAGCATATATCAAAATGGTCAAATTGCATTGCAAATAATATTTATTCTATTTTGTAACAGTTAAATAATCAGTTTGCAGAAGACAACTAATTGCCACTTATTCTATTACAATACCGACTCATGTTTATCAGGACTTGCAAGTTGCAACCAATAGTATGAAAAACAAAAGAAAGCTGGAAATTTCAGTGAAATGCAGATAAAACGTACAAGAAATATTTATAGTAATATGAGACCAGCAAGGAAACAATTTTCTTTTGGCCCCCCACAGTTCATTCAACGGAAAATACATAGAAAGGCTCAATATGTACCAGAAAGAATGGGCCTCCAAGGAAAGGACAAGATACAACTGAATCGCCAGTGTCCAATTCCTTTATCCTGTCATGGAACCGTATGTACAAAAACACTAAGCATTTTGAAGAAAGTAGAATGCAATATTAAATTGCTAACTCTTGACTAGGAATGCCATTTGAAAAACTAAATTTTGGTAAGGAACAAAGTAGTATCAAAGGCTGCCCTCACTTCAAAATCCTCCCACTTCATAAGCTGCATGTTTGACTTCTCCAAAAGGGATCCAAAATTAGTGCAGTTCCTTTTGAAACGCTGAAGCCCTTTAAATGAGCCTGCTGGGTCGGCAAATTCACAATCCTCTTCATAAGCATTTAATGTCAGATCCCCTGATGGTTGAAAAGAACAGATTAACCATGTGAACGTCTGATATATAATCAAATTACTAACAAGATACCAATAGGTATTAGTTTAATTTTATGCCAGTAATTATATGGAAAGCAATCACTTGGAAGCCATCCTGCATGAAAGAACATGCTAAATATGCTATACTAGAAGTACACTTCAGACATGCCCCTTTTCCGAGGGCAGTAACTCCTGTCCCCTGAACCTCCACACCCCTAATAAATTTTGATTGCAGTAATTATATAATTGCACCCATGATAGAAGGCAGGCAGTGATATTGTCTTTGTCTCTGCCTGTGGCTGTGCCAAGAAAATTTCAACAGGGGGACTAGCAACAAACAAATTATATAAGTCATCAAACCCTGAATATGCATGAGGAACTTGGGATGCTTGGCCCTTCATCAATTCCTATTAAATTGATTAAAGGAAGGTAAGATAACTCGGGTATTCAATGACTATAATCATTTGAAAAATGATACTCACAAGTTACTCCGAAACTTACCGACAAAATTTGCCAATAAAATCATTTGAAAAATACTAATCATTTATAATCTCAACAAAAAAAAAAAAAATTGTGCCTATAACACAGGCTTCAGACAAGATTTGCCGATCAAAATATTGGGAGTTCAACTGTGAAACAGAGTTAGAAATGGAATAAATGGCCCATTAAGATTTTGGCCTAATATCTACTCGGAGTTTTGGGCTCACCTCACCTATCAAAACAAATCTATAATTTCATTAACATGACCTGATGCATCAAATTCATCTCTCATGAATGAAAGGGAAGAAAATGGAACGACCCAGATAAATTAAGCAACTGGGTGGGGCAAAACCTGTGACAAAATAGGATCTTTGAAAGTCTTGTTTGATAGTGTCCACAACCGCGGCACGATCAACGGTCTGGAGAAGCCTCTGAGGAGGAGCTTCCTGATCAGACGGTGAACGGAAAACGGAGGCAGCAATGCCAAGAAGCTCGGAACTATACCATGCAAGCTTGAGAAGTGCATTGTTCTGTGGTTGTGACTCTTTGTTTGGATTAGTTCCACTGCATCGAAACGTGTGGATTCTAAGGTGCTGTTTGTGTTGTTTCGGTAGAAAGACGAAAGAGCTATGACGAGTTATATTGATTGGAGTAAAGGCAGTTAATGCCATGACGCAACACAACACAAGACAGTGCGAGAGAATCAAAGTGGCAGTCGCTAGTTGCTACCTGCGATTTGTTTAAATATCTAGCCTTCAAACTAATGATAGCCATACAAAAACACTACATAGGTATTTTCATTTTTTCTTTTCCTTTTTTGTGATCGATGCGAAGTTAAATTTTAACTGTTTTAGTTAAATTTTTTTGTCATGAAAAAACTCTAGAGAATTTAATTGATGAATTTCAAATTGACGGATTATTTAACTGTGCTCTTACTAAGCTGTTCATCCGTAGTTAATAAATTATTTATAGATAAATTAAAAAAAACAATCTATTAACCTCTCCGAAATTTTTTTTAAAATGACACACATCTTTTTTAATTTTTAAGTCATTATTAATTTTATTTATTTATTTATTTAGGTGATACATATAATTTTTGACATGACATAATATTATTTATGTACTAGTAAAAAAAATAAATTATTAATACAAGTATTAATAATTAAATATGACTTAATTTTTTAATTAATTTTAACTCTCAAATTATATTATGAATAACATGTGTATTATAATTTAAAAAATATATTAATTTTAAAGAATAATTTCAAATAACAGATTGAGAAATTATTACTTTTAAAATTAAAGAATAACAAAAATTTTCATAAATAAGATAAAATATTATATATAATTTAGAAATGAATGATGAATAAATATATAATTACTAGAATATAAATTGATTTTTATTTTTTTCTTTCTCTATCACTTTAATTAATAACATTATTCTATGACTTTTTAAAATTAGATGGAAAATGTGTCATTTGAAAAGATCACCAAAGAGGTAATTGCAATTTTTCTTATAAAACTATCAAAAGAACTAATATTATTTTTCTATTTATAACATTTTATATTTATATATAAATTTAAATTTAAATATTTTTTTGAACGAAGTATTTTTTTTATGGAATTTTCTTTAGTCAAAACACCCTATAGGATACTTTTTACAAGTATTTTTAAGAAATTTTTTGAGCTTTTATTTCTGTAAATTTATTACTTTTATTTTTATTTTCAAATTTAATATAATATATTTAAAAAAAAACATTATTAATTATTAAAAAGAATCGCTCCACCAACTAAGAACGGAATTAACGAGACAAATCACTCCACTAATTAAGAATGGTCATGCACCACCACTCATAGAATCAAGAAAGAGCTCTTACTTTGTCAATCCTTACTATGTCTGGACCTGATAAGTTTTCCCGTGTTGAGTCAAATTAAGCCGCAAGCTCCACTCTTAGTAGTACCCTTCTGTCAATTCCTTTAAGTTTCAGCCTTGCGACCATCACTAATTTTTATTTTCAGCCTTGCGATCCTAAATCCTAAACTTTGAAGACGATAGTACATATAAAAAGAAATGAGTACTTGAAAACAAAACTAACATTAAAGACAAAAGAAAGGAGTTTATAAAGTCAAAAAATTATAATTAAAAAATATTAATGATATTCTAATGAAAAAAAGTATAATAAAAATATATTATTAATATATAAAAATATATATATCATGAGTCCAATAAAAATCGAGTAAGTTTCTGGTTATAAAATAGAACACCATATATATAGTCATCCCAAAATAATAACTCCTAGTGCCGGTCAAGCACAGACGAAATCGTTACTCAAAATAGTAACTCTAACACGAGGATCAAACTCCCCGTCTCGTAGCGATCACCTCAACTCCAAGCTAGCCCTGACCAACTCCCATACCAAGTATGATCATCTCAGTCCCACCACATGGAAACAGAAAGGTAAGCTAGAGTTCAAAACCAATCATACAAGTACAGAATAAAATCTATACTACACATCATCCAACTATCAATCATGTTCATAGAGTCACACCATACATTCTATCCAATACTACTCATGCATAAAATATAATCCACCAATCATGAAGTCAAACACCACACTTCATCATATTAATAATCATGCAATAAATGCATCTCATGACAAATATCAATGCATATCAATCATCTAATGCGTCGTCACGCATACACCTAGGAGATCTCCCTAATAACAGAGCTGTATAAGTGACATTCCATCCTACCGAAACCACCCCAACCGTTTTCACGCCCAATGCGCCCGTTCGGTCACAGCTAAACATGATATAATCCTCACTCGGGTTTACTCGGATGATGTCACTTATATAATTAGAAGTCCAGATCCACCGTCAGGTATAACACAGCTGGGTACGGGCTTACCACGACCTTGGCATGCATAACCAAACCAAGTCAATTGTTCTCGTAGCCATAGATCGGGCTCTCGAATGCATTCCACATATGCCTCTATGGATCTCCTCCATGACATAATGGGTTTGATTTGCTTTTAAACATTTAAGAAGAGGAACTAAAAATCCTCTTTTGAACAATTCATCTACTTCCATTGTGAAGTGATAGGATCTAGTTTTAATCCTGGTAGTTTCAACCTTGTTGTCAGGTAGGATTCCATCTTTCAGATATCTCCAAATGGTCGACATCCAACTTTCATTGTCAGGGTTATTAGAGAAGATTGTTGTGGAATTGTAGCTTGGAGTAGTAATCATCTCTTGAATGATAGTTTTATGTTAACCAGGATGTTTAATACTGGCAAGTTTGGATAATAGATCAGCTATGATATTTTGCTCTCTAGGGATGTGTTCAATCTGGAAATCATCAAAAGAAGATGTTATTTGAGAAACCATGAGGTTATACCTTTGGAGCTAGGGTTCCTTTGTGTGGTATTTGCCTCCTACTTGCTCTGTAAACAATTTAGAATCACTGCAGCACTTCAATCTTCTTACATCAACATCTTTGGCTAATTCAGCCCTGCTAACAAAGCTTCATACTCGGCTTGGTTGTTGGTGGCTTGAAAATCAAATTTGATGGTGAGCTCGAGCATCATGTCATTGGGCCCTTCAAGAATAATTCCTACACCACTGCCTATTGTGTTGGATGACCCATCAAAATTTTCAATTGTTTGGTACCTTCGTTCAGTCTACAACAAGACACGACTAACAAAATATATTGGGATTTGTTTTTTTATTATTTTCTTGGACGAGGGCTGCACTTACAATGTTGTTAGCCACAACTAAATACAGTAAAAAATCAACTTGACTATCAAGCTTAGACAAGATTGGTGGAGTCGAGAGGAAATGTTTAAAATCAGTGAATGCCTTCTCACACTCGTTATCCTAGTGGAAAGTTTTTGGCTTTTTAAGCAAATTGAAGATTGGTTTGGCCTTTTCTGCCATTTTAGGGATGAAATAGGATAGAGAGGCAAGTCTGCCTGCTAATTTTTGTACCTCTTTGTGGTTTTGTGGGCTTCTCATGTTGATCAGCGCTTGACATTTGTATGGATTTGCTTCAATTCCTCTACGAGTAATCATGAATCCCAAGAATTTTCCACCTTGAACTCCGAATACACATTTCTCCGGATTCAGCCTCATATTGTGTTTCCTGATTTGCTTGAAGGTTTCTTCTAAGTCTTGGACATGTTCTTCAATTGATTTTGTTTTAATGATCATATCGTCCACATAGACTTCGAGATTACGACCAATTTGCTCGGTGAAGACCTTGTCCATGAACCTTTGATAGGTAGCTCTTGCATTTTTAAGTTCGAAGAGCATAACACAATAGCAATAATTTGCATGTTCTGTTATAAATGTTGTGTGTTCTTCATTTGAAGGATACATTAAAATTTGATTGTAACTTAAATATACTTCAAAGAAACTAATAATATTTAACCGTTTACTATGCCAATTCTAATAATATTTACATGGTTTTTTTTATTTTATTAATTACTTAACTTAGTTGACATCAATGTTTATTTGTCGTTAAAAAAATCCTTTTAAAATAGAAAAATCTCACTGACTAGTTAATATGTGGAATTGGACGTCTTTTTTTTTTTTCAATACATGTATTAAAATAACACAAATATAGTAATAAGTCAAAAAATTTATTATATAATTTATATATATATATATATTAAATCAATGTTTTTACAAAAATAATTTGTATTATCCTGTTTTTATTAATATTTCATAATAAAAAATATAAAAATTTATTATTTAAAAATTCTAGAATACTTATCTTCCAAACAGTTTATATAAAGATCTCAAAGAGATGAGGTATATGGCTTAAAAAGTAGAAACATAGTAAGAAAGGAACCGGGACAGTTCAAGAATTGATGATACATTAATTTCATTTGAGTTTCCTATGATCCGACATTTTTTTGGGCGGAAACCCGACCCAGGCCCAACTCAAAGCCATAGTGGCCTGATGCGGTCTTTGGGCGGAAACCCAACCCAGACCCAACTCAAAGCCATAGTGGCCGAAGAGAACCTCACGGGTCACGGCCCCATTCGACTTCCCCCATTCCTCCACCTAATGGCCAAACACATGAACCCCGAGCCCTTTGATCGCCAACTTCGCCACGCCTTCAAGGTGCTTGACAGAAACTCTACCGGCTTCGTCTCTGTCTCCGAGCTCCGCCACATCCTCACCAACATTGGTGAGAAGTTCGAGCCCTCCAAGTTCGACCAGTGGATCCGGGAAGTCGACGTGGGCTCCGACAGCAAGATCCATTACGAGGATTTCATCGTCAGAATGGTCGTGACACTGGTTAGGTCTTCTCTTTCTCCACTGCTTCGGTATTGTCGTGTTTGTTGTGCTTCTATTTTTATGTTGTTTGTTGTGTAGTAGCTTACCGAGGGTCGTTTTAGGATACGGTGGCTAGTCAATTTGCCCTCTTTGTTTTGGGATTATTTGTATTATGAGATCTGATTCCGAACTAGTCTATATATGCATGCTGTAATTGAGACCAAGTGTTTGTGTATCTAATCCTTTCTTTCTTGTTGTGCCACTACCAAACCTAAGTGATAAAATCTAAACTGAGCCGAGACTGATCCTATTCAAATTATAGAATCCAACCTGTTTTAAAGAAAAATCTGGACTGACTAACATTGTCAAAATTATTTGGTTAATCGCTCTTTTTTTACAAATGAATCATTTTGGTTTAATTTGATTTTTTTTTTTTTTTTTTGTGCAGACCAACACTTGGGAATGAAGTGGATAATTATATTGCATTGAATCGATTTAATGTTAAAAAATTGTATTCGTTTTTTTATTTTTTTAACAGATTCACTTTATAAATAACATTTCAGTTAACCTAACTATTTTTATAAAAAGAATCAGCTCAATTAGAAAAAAATAAATCTTGTAATAATGTCATTATTTTGTAACTATTTGCAAAAATCTGGAAATGTAGTAGACGTTTTCTCAAATTAGTCAGGCTGTGATTATTCTGCTTTCCTTGCAAGTGTAAGAATAGTGACAAGGATCACAATTGTACCAATATCGAAGGGTGCTTACAAGTTACAAAACTAGCATGCAATGGGTAAGATTTTTCTACGGGTGTGATTTGGGTATACTATTGTTCCTACTTTGTTGTATATCTGCACCTTTTTATATTAGTTATAGATGTATACTTACACCTTTGGTATTTTATAACTAGAATTTGAAAATCTTTGATTTTTTTTAATCCATTTAGATTTAATATTCTACTTTTGCTTTATTTATTTTATAGTTTTTTTTAAGTTTTAAAATAATGTTTATTATTAGTCCATTGAAAAAGTTGATTCAAAGGAGATCATATTTCATTTAACTAAAACAAGAAGAATGAGTTGTTTTCCCATTTACATTTTGATTTGGTTTTATTGCAGTAAGGGTATTTCCTCCTCTGCTCTGCCATACAAGAGGACTCCCCCTACCTGGCTCAAGATCTCTTCACAAGACGTAATAACTAATCTTATTCCTCTTTCTGCCAATTCAATTCTTACTTCGACGCTTATTTTTTATTTTATTTATGATAATATTGATTTAGGTTGATGAGAATATATGTAAGTTTGGATGAGTGGATTCCCTCACACGACTTTCATCGAACACCTATCCATCTCTAACAACGTGTCAACCCGCCAACTAGCCACGCATCCAAACCTTCCCAACCTATCTTCTATTTTCTTCTTCTCCATCTTTCCCCAAAGCAGCGCTATCCATGAATCGTGTAGCATTGCCCAAACCCATTGCCCACCGTTTTAGATGGAAGCAATTTAGTAATCGTTGCGAAAGCCAGGTCCAAAGCGCTGGGCATGTGGCCTCTCTCCTCAAGTCCCGCTCCGTTATACGGTTCCGCGGGCCTGACACCCTCAAGTTCCTCCAGGGCCTGTTGACCAATGATGTACGGAGGTTGGGTGAACCCATTGGTGGCAAAAGCGAAAACTTGCCCACACCCAACGTACTTGCCACCTTGGTTCCTCCTATTTATGCTGCGTTGTTGACTCCTCAAGGGAGATTCCTCTACGACCTCGTTCTCTATAAGCCTCCCACGTGCGATACCAAGCTCGATCACACTGGCTCTGGCCCTCACTCCTACACCGATCAACCCTTTCATTTGTTTGCTGACGTCGATGCTTCTATCTTGGATGAGTTGTTGCAAACCTTCAACAAGTAAGTTCACTCTTCCATTCATTCTTTTCGTCCCATTACTTTTATTCTGGCTTACTTCCTCAACTTCACCTTTGTCAATATCTATTTTGGTGATTAGTTTTTTTTTCCCCTCAATTACCAATTAAATAGATAGATAGCTATCATTGACATCGCTGACCTGAAAAAAGTTTCATGACTTCCGTTTAACCAATTTTTGAAACACTAGCTCAATGTCCAACATCTCACCTTGGGGACAATCAGTATCTTCTACTTTAATATCATGTTTCAAGTTAGGAATGCTTTGGGAACAGTCAATATAGAATGGCATGCACTTTATTAAATACTTTCAGTTACTAAGCAACCATGGAAGAATGATTTTTGTGTTTACAATATAATAAATGCTCTACTTGTATTTCCTTAACCTGTGCCCTAGCAGTTCCTTAAAGTTGCAGCCTTTAGACATTAAATGGTATAGAAAGATTTCCCTTGCACCAGGAACATCTATTTGTCTCTCTATGCGTGGTCATGCTACACTACATATGCATGTTATAAAGTCTGATTAACCAACCATTGGCCTGCAGAGAGTAGATTGTTTGGCTTGCCTAGACATCTTTTGGATTGAAGTTGATCTTCTTCCTACTCTTGTTTTATTGGTTTTTATTTATGAGCGGAGACATTAACATTTTAGTGCTGCAGATACCGGTTGAGGTCAAAGGTTGAGATTGATGATGTTTCAAGTGATTTCTCGTGCTGGCAGCGATATGGTGTTGGCCTTCCTGAGAAGTCCTTACAAGTAGAAGAACCAGAAGCAGCCTCTGTTGGCTGGGGTGTTGGTTCGGATCGTACTGCAATGTCTTCTTCACATGGGAGTGATCATGGGTGGCAATGGTTTAAGGATCCCAGATTGGTTTCTCTTGGTTTTCGAGGGATCTTCCCATCAAATATAACTCGTTAGTTATCTATTCTTTGGCTGCTAATAAAATTTGTATCTAATATTTATTGTTGCAATCTTTTACATTATTGTGACAAAACTCTGGATGTTTAGTCCTGAAAAAGTCTCCCTCATTTCTACATGTTCCAGCACCTTTAATTGAGGTTGACAAAGAAATTGATGAACAGAATTTCCTTCTATGGAGAATAGAGAAGGGAGTAGCAGAAGGATCAACCGAGATTCCAAAAGGTGCATGTTTGTTTCTTCGTAAAAAGCTCTTACTGAGAAGAGTTCTTTCGGTGAGTTGTCTCAAATATCTTGATTAATTGATCATGTCCAGGAGAGGCAGTACCGCTTGAGTATAATCTTGCAAGTCTAAATGCAATTAGTTTTGACAAAGGTTGCTATGTCGGTCAAGAACTCATAGCCCGTACCCATCACAGGGGGGTGATTAGAAAGCGGATAATTCCTCTAAGGTTTCTCGATAATGATGGAAAAGGTAATATGCTCCTCTAAGGAGGATGTGGCTTCTTTAGTATTTATATATTATATAATGATAATGATGTAACTGAGCCATTCATTTTCTGCTATTCCAGAGTTAGTAAACAAAGTTGTTCCAGGCTTAGAAGTAATGAACACTGCATCTGGCAAAAAAGCTGGCATAGTGACTACTGCCCTAGGATGTCGTGGGCTAGGACTCTTGCGACTTGAAGAAGCTTTAAAGGGGTCGAGTGCTTTGTGCATTCAGGGACAAGAGGATATGAAGGTTGTCGCCAGTAGACCAAATTGGTGGCCTTCTGAATGGCTTTAGGGTCATTTATAGCATGCTGCTTTTGCCTAGGATTCTCAATGCCATTCAAAGGTCAAGTATTTATGAACAATTTTGTAGGTAAAAGAAATAATTAAGTGAAGAAAAAAATTGTATAAATAACGAAAAAAAAAAAAACAAGTAGAAAAAATATATATATTTTTTAAAATGGTAAATTAAATTTAAGAACAAAAAAATAAATAATAATAAAATAAAATATAAAAGAAGTTGTTGTGGCTTATAGCGACTTTGTGTTGCTATGAATTATAGCGCCTCTATGATTCATTAAAAAAATATAAAATTAATTTGAAAAATATATATAATATAAAAGAAATAATTCTATGAAGAAAAAAATTATATAAATAAGAGGAAAAAACAAGTAAAAAATTAATTTTTTAAAAAATAAATTAAATTTTTAGAATAAAAAATTTTAAAAAATAAAATAAAAAAGAGGTCAATAGAACTCTTAGCGACTTTGCATAGCGCTTCAATTAAAATTACATATATATAATACAGGCTATAAGAATCTAAAATATCATTTACACAAACGCATTAGAAGTTTCAGCTGTTCCATACTGCATCAAGTTCTTAGCACACACAAGGGCCTCCAGAGTCTCTGGCCGCGAGGAACTCCGAAAATGATCCATCTCTTTGCTTTTTGAATAAAACCTAGAGTCAGGGGCAATAGTAGAAACTGGAATAGATAATATATTAAAATAATGTTGCTAGGGTCCAGCCACATAAGTCGCTATGAGTTATATGAGTTATAGCGACATTCTTTTTTTTTTAAATATTTCTTTTTTTATCAGTTTTTTTTAAAGTTAATATATAAAAAAATCTGAAAAAACTTATAAAAAAATAATTAAAAGTACACAAATAAATATTTTAATATTTAATTTTTCATATTTAATTTATCAATTTTTTTATTAAGTTTTTTTATATTTTTTTTCTTTGACTTTAATTAAAATAAAAAAAAATAACTACACAAATAAATATTGTAATTAAATTTATAAACAAAAATGTGAAAAATAAGAAATAAATTACTAAACAAGGTTGTTATGGTCTTAGCACCTTTAAATAATATATTTTTTAATAATGAAATATATTAATTATATTTTTTAAAAATTATACGTGGTACTGGTGTCGTATGGTCCATAGCGATACTGTAATAAATTGTCCCAAAAATATAAATAGTTTCAAAACAGTCTCATTTACGTAAATAGTTTTAAAAACTATCTCAAGTTAGTCAATCAACCATTTATACTAATTGTGATACGTTTGTAATAAAATTTATGTAAGAGTTATTCAACTCGTTTGGCAACACGAGCAATGGTATCCAAGGACGTCGAATGAGTCTTTGTGTCTGAGGGGATAATGAACAAGATCGACCCTAAGATTTTTAAAGCCCTGGGTGAACCAAAAAGTATGTTGTCCTTAATTATCTAAGTATTATCCTTATACTTTTTATTGCATAATTATTAGGATATCAAAAATATTTTTAAGACTATTCACAGGAAATATATCCCATTTAGTACCATTTTTAGTAATTCATTTTGTAAATCGTAACATTTTAAATTATTAATTGTAAATATTTACTCTTCATAAATAAAATTTTTATATTTTAGTTGAGCTGATTATATTATAGGATGATAATTTTTATATAATGATGTTAGCATTCTATCATATTCATTTTATTTAGTTTATATATATATATATATATGAGAAGTGATTCGTTTACTCTAGAAGCAAATCTACATAAACTTACTTCGTTCAATAACTCATATTCTATATCAAATCTCAACGATTCAACCATTGAATTTAAAGTTCTTAGTGCATAGATCAAATCTGCAAATTTAAAAAAAATTTGAAAATCATTTGATATTTTGTTTCATTAATTCAACTTGACAGATAACATATTTTTATGATTATACTAATTGTGGTACGTTTCATTACTTTGTTTCAATTTAAATTAATGAAATGAAGTATCAAATGATTTTTAATTTTTTTTAAAATTTGTAGATGTGATCTATGCATTAAAAACTTTAAATTTAATGGTTGAATCGTTGAAATTTGACGTAGAACATGAGTTATTGAACGGAATAAGTCTATCTATATTTACTCCTCTTAATAACTCATGTTCTATATTAAATTTTAATGATTCAACCATTGAATTAAAATTTCTTAATACATAAATCAAGTTTGTAAATTTTTTAAATTTGAAAATTATTTAATATTTCGTTATATAAGTTCAAATCAATGTATAAAATATTTTTATGATTATCTATCAATTTGAATTTAATGAAACGAAGTATCAACAAATTTTCAAATTTCACAGACTTTTATATATATGTATTAAGAACTTTTAATTTAATGATTAGATCATTAAAATTTAATGTAGAATAAAAGTTATTGAGTGGAATAAGTATACTTACTTTTGGAAAAAAATGAATTTCTTCTCTTTCTCGCTTTCTCTATACATAAAGGAGAGATCCACTCATTTTAAAAGTAAGTCTACCTGCACTTCACTTAATAATTCATGTTTTACAACAAATTTCAACAATTCAATTTTTGAATTAAAAGTTTTTAATGAATAGATTAATTTTGCAAAATTTTTTTAAAAAGTTATTTAATATTCCATTTAATTAAAATAATTATAAAAATATTTTATACGTTAATTTGAATTAATAAAAATATGAGTTATTAAATAAAATAAATTTAAGTAAACTTATTTTTTTTTAAGTAAATAAATCTCTTTTATCCCTATATATGTTATTGGATTGATAATGTAATTTTTCATAAGATCAACACTACGACAATGAAGGTCCAACATCGAATTCTTAATCTAGGATTTTTTAATATATTATATGTATTCCAAATTTTTTTAAACACGCACGATAAATTTCTTTTTCTTTTTAACAACTACTGAAAAGTATAGCATATCACGTGTTGATAAAATAGAAAAATAAATAAAATTACATATATTATATACATAGCATAATAATTTTAAGTCAACTTGTTTTATCTTTCTTATTCTTAAACTTACGAATTAGCTACTAAAATATTGTCTCTCACTTCGTGTTATTAATTTTAAAATATCATTAAGCATTATTCGTTATCTCCATTCGAAACATCCAAATATACAATGTTTTAGCTTCATTTAAGCGTTTTAGAAAATGTATAAAGTAAAATAGAACGTGATCACGTGTGTATTTAAAAATGTAGAACTCTTCATTAATCGAATTTTTAAAAATCTGAAACAAATCAAATTCAATCATATCATATCATATATCATAATTTATATATATATATATATATATATATATATATATATATATTTGAGTTCAGTGGAGTATTTATTATCAAATAAATTTATATTAAAAATTA